AACACCAACCCAAATTACTGTTTCACATGTCGCTTCCCCAGCATATTCTAGTACCCGTTTCAGCAATAACCTGCCAGCAATGAACACATGCTATGAAACAGGACAGAATAAATCTAATAATGAGAAAAAGAACTTAAATTTTACAGAAGTTTTATTTTATAAATGTTGTAATAGTCTGAATGTAATTCAGAACGAATTGAATGCACAGAGAGATATGAAATTAACTATGTTATACACTCTGTAACGAGAAATATTTTTATACCGAGAAGAATTGTTTCAGAGTATTCTGAGATGGCCACATTTTTCTGGCTGTCAAGTAAATATTATGAATGTGAGTTGTACAGCACACAGAAAATAGCACCTCTCAGCAATAATTACACAGCCCATCTGTATTCTCTTCAGGGAATTTAAAATCATGTCATATACATCCTTTACAAATGCTTTAACAATCCCACAAAATCAGGAGAAGAGAACAGAACACAAAGAAAAGGAGACTCCAAAATCTCTACTGCATGTCTAGATCACACTGTACAAATAACGCTTTGTTCTGTTTATCAGCAGACAAAAATACTCAGCCGGAAATTGTGTAGGGTTGCTGTGAAGTACAAGATTCCAGTTTCCCCCTCAAAACAAAACATTGTGTTTCACCTAAAATGTCCTTTTTTTCCTTTTTTTGGAGGGAGAGAGGTGGGGTTTTTACATTTTAACTTTTTTCCTCTTGGTTTTCCAGCTGTATTCAACAAATGTGCCATTTATCCCTAATTGTGACCTGGACAAGAGCAGAAAGAACAACAGAAAAGTAGGAATACAGCAAGCATGAGGGAATGATGACAGAAGAAAAATGGACAGCATGAAACCAATTTGCAGAAAACTCCTACTCAGGAGAAGCACACCTCTTAGTGGCTCAGAAAAGGCTGATGGGGAGCCAGAAGGAAAGGGAGAGGGAATGAAAAGGAGGAGAGATGGAGAAGGAAGGGTGAGCCAGGAGCAAGAGGAGCAAGGAAAGTGCAAAATATGTGGGGTGAATAGAACAAGAAGCAAGGAAAAACTGGGATAAAAGGGAAAAAGAGCCTCTCAGAACTCTGGGATAAAAGTTTGCCTCATTACCTCAGTACTCTTTTGATATCTAACACAAAAGGGAGCAGCTTAAGACTCCTGGTTTGGATTTGGTTCCCACAGTTTCACAGTATCTCCCACCAACCTATTTCAAAGCACATCTGGGAAAGTGGCCTTTCGGTACTTACACAAAGTTTCACATAGTCATAGCTCCAGAAACGCCAGCTCTCCTTATACTTTCCTCCCCAAACCTCCCCTGTCTTCTCTCCCTGCCTTTTGGCTGAAATTATGAAGTGTAAGCTAATATGTTTTTTAATCATATAAGCCCCTTCTGGCTTAATCTGTATAAATCAAGACTTCGGAACTGATGACACTACCTTAACACTCCTGCTGCCTTTACTGTACATATCCTGAGGATCCGCTGCTCAAGGCCTCTATGGACAGAGAGTTGCTATATGGGCATGGTCTCATTCTGTCAATGAACAGAAAACCTACTCCCATTTTTGCTGAGACCTTTCTTATATTTGCCATCCATGTTATGTGCTGCGAGGTCTCAACTCCTTTGGACCCAATTTCATTTAAATGACCTGTTATGATTCAAGTGTGCTTTCAGCATTCTGTTACATTGGTGTTCTCAGCATACATGTTAACAGCTCCTTTATGATAAATTGTGTAATATGCTGTGAATGCATAATAACAGTCATATTTTTTGTTACATAATCAGTCATCTTCACTATAGGTCCACTCGAAAATAACAGTCTTAATGGTATGTAGTTATTGCTCTCTGGAGTTGAGTTGCTCCATAAGCTTCAGTGAAAAACCCTTTCTCTTTTCTGTAAAGGGCCCATCCAATCTTTCCTTCTGAAGACCTAAGAATATTGTCACCAAGTAGCTTCTTCTGAGTTATGGGAACAAAATTACTGGATGAGAGTAAACTACTATATTTATTCATTACTGTTTCTATCCTAAACCATGATTCAAATGTACTTCAACTAAGTTGCACCCCAGACTGGCCCTCAAGACCAGGCTGGCAAAGCATTTTACACCTAGGCCAATGACTGGATGGCAGAGTCCATCCAGCTGAAGAACAGTTCTGGAAAGAAAAGAACTAACAGGACAGTAGAGACAAGAGGGAGAAGAGAGACAGCAGTGAAGTCAGTGTTACTGTCAAATTTTGTGTTTGCCACATGAGACCCTCCACTATACAGATTCTTCAGAACCATTTGAGTCAAGTTTCAAACAGAATCTTTCAGATGCATAGTAAATCCCTGAAAAATGGGATTCATTACAGGGGCACTGTCAGAACTGTAGCTGTAGTAGTGCTAGTGGGTGCTGCTATAATCACATCAGATCATATTATAGATGGCTAAGAAGGTTTAGTGAGCCTGGCCATTGTGCCTGCCTAATTTATAGTGTTCCTGTCAGGAAGAAATCAAGTTTCATAGTTATGACATTTCTTTCTGGAGCACTAAATGTTAACTTTGCTGATCATGCATATCTTGGTAGAACAGCTTATTTCTAAATGGCAAATGTGATATAAAAAGCATAATGACTTCATTCAAAACCTGTATAAAGCAGCTGATTCTCACACCTATAGAAAACAGGCCAAGTGGTGGTTTAGTCATGAGAGTATGGAAACAGATATACACTCAAGATATTCAATTCATTTCTCCCATTTTAAGTAATGACATGAGTCTGGAATTGCAGTCTATCTAAAACTAGTCATTTTTGTACTTATTAAATGCATGTAAATAATGGTATCTAATAAGAGTAATACTGCTGACATAACAATAGTAGCAATGCTTTCCTTTTATATGTTTTGTACAAGGATTTTGTCTTAATTGGTCATCATTCAGAGCTAGATGATTGTATGTAAGGGTAGGAAAGGACAAAAGGAGCCTCACGCTCTCTGTAATACAAAATTCATCTACCATTTCAGCACTGAGAACAAACAAGAGGAAGATGCAGCATCACTTGACAGGTAAGGGTAACACAGCGATGGATGCATGTTTTCCCTCTGTCACATTAGCTACTGGTGTGTTTTCCTCTACATTATGTAGAGGAAATAATTCCCATTAGAGTGCTAGCGAGACCTACTGTTGCTGCGGAGATATTGTGTATCCTCTACTGCAGGTGCTGAGGACAAAACAGCTGTAAATGAGTAACTAGGATCAGCAAGGGCCTGCTAAACCTAACTGCTTGCCAAAACTGTAGTTTATATTAGAAAGAACTAGCACTGCTTACGAATACATATTTAATCTTAATTTTGACATACTGATAGCATTTCAAATATAATCGAAGCATATTCTACTGTTGTATTTAAGTTATGGTTTTCTCAAGAGGTCTCTGAACAGTTAAAGAAATGGTTACTGAGTGAAACGAATGCAACCTCAATTAATTTCTAACAATCCAGTGACTTGCATTAACTAATGGACAGTTGGACATCAGAGGTATCACGTTTCCTCTGCCCAGTCAATAACTGTGTGGACACGTTGATGATAAGGATTTTTTACAGATCTTAATCCTAAATAGTCCCTAACTGGAGACAGCTCCCCCAAATTTTACCAGCCTCCCAGAACCCACAAAACCAAAATGTTAACAAAATATAAGTATTAAGAACAACACTGGCCGTAACTTGGAGTCTCCGTAAATAAGAGAAACAACCTGAGACAATTTTGGAGATGCCAAAGAATAATATCAGAAGAAAAAGATCTCGAGAACCGCAGCAACAGAGACAAATAATATTTTATGCTACTGTAATGTGACAGAAAAGATTTGCTTTCTTCTTTGGAAGTATGTTGATATCAGTAAATACACATATGAAAGAGAAATACGGTTGTGTACTAC